AGGATCATTGTGAGTTTGAGACCAGCCTGGGCTACAAAGTGAACTCACTGAACTGCACAGTGAGACCCTGTCTCAAAAAGGCAAAAAAAAAAAAAAATATTGATGGGACAAAACAAGACACGCCATTTTTCAAATCCATGTGCCATAACAGCCTTAGCGAGATGAACCAGTGGGGTTCTCAGAAGCTCTTAGGCTGAAAAAGGAGCAGGACCGCAAGGCCAACTTATTCCTCGTTCTGATGATGTACTGAGATCCAGCTTGGCCCTTCTGCACCTCCCACAGGAACAGAAGGCAACTAGGGGTGGAGACGCGGGCGGCCCAAGTCCTGGCTGAAGAAAACCATCGGCACTGTTGTGTCCGTCTCCCGTCCTTAGGGTTGCATCTAAGATGTCCCCCAACAGTCTCGTGTGTGGGGCTTGCTGAAGTAACTGTAGCATGAGGGCTCTAGCTCCATCGGTGTATTAATCCATTGGGGAGCTCACAACTGGAAGGTGGGACGGTACTGGCAGTGGCGGAGACAGGAGTGGAAGGGAGTAGCCGTGGGGGTGTGACCTCAGGCACCGCATCCGGCCGGCCCGGCTCTCTGGCTCTTTCTGTACTTCCCCACTTTGCCTCCTGACTGCCAGGAAGTGAGCGGAGTTCTTAGGCCTCAGAGCCCGCCAACCAGGGCCTGAAACCGTGCGCCAAAATAAACCTCTCTCTTCCTCCTGCTGTGCGCTCGGTGGTTTGTCTCAGCCATGCGGAGCTGACTGACTCACCAAGCTCTCCTGAGAAGAAATGGCCAGGGTTAGGAAACTAGAGCTGCCCAGTATCTTCTTCTGTGACTTTTATCTTTCCCTGTTCACATACTCAGTACGTTCCTTTGACTTTTCTAAATCGCTGCATTGAAGATGCTTCACTGTGCTCAGCCCCGTGGGTGTGTGACAGAACTGAAGCAGGGTCTCTGTTAGTGATTCCTGGGAGCCCACGACTCACCCCCAGGCCTCGCAGTCCCAGGGAATGCCGTGACACAGGCAAAAGGTGCTGGCTAATAGCTCCTGCTGTCACAGCTGTTGGAAAAGAAAGTGAGGTGTGATTCCAGCTATCAGTACGCAGGAAATTCAGCCATGGTTGATGAGAATAGACCTTCTTTCTTCACCTCTCATTTCAAATAGCACAAAGAATTTATTCTACTCACAGCGGGAGAGAAAAGAAAAGACTTGCCAGGTGTGGTGGCGCAAGCTTGTATCCCAGCACTCCGGGAGGCTGAGGCAGGAGAATTGTTGCAAGTTCGAGGCCAGCCTGGGCTACAATGTGAGCTCAAGGCCAGCCTGAACTGCATAGCGAGACCCTGTCTCAAAAAGACAAAAGAAAAGACTTGAAGATAAGATTTAGGACTAAAAGCTCGCAGATACTGGAATGAGAGTCGACCCTCTTCGCTTGATCAGCAGCAGAAGAAAAGCCATTACAGGGGCTGAGCCCAAACTTGTGTAACAGCAGAAGCCACCACTGAAATTTCTTGCTTACTTGTAACGAGTAGAGGTGAGGACCGACTAGACCATTGCAATTCTTGGAAGTTAAGACAAGTAGCAAACACTGACCTAGGAGACTTTTTTATCTTTGGCTTGGCAAAATTGTCTTCCTTGAGAGTGGTTTGATCCATATAAGGTGCTTAGGAACCACTAGAAAGTAGAAACACACACCATCCCCTTCTCTGTAACATTTCAAGTTACAGAAGTCTCTGGAGGGAATAGTTAGCTATGAAAAAAGCAAAATAACACTGGGTATGGGACACACACCTGTAACCTCAGCACTCTGGAAGGCTGACAGGAAGATTTCGAGTTTGAGCCCAGCCTAGGTAACTTGGCAAGACCCAGTCACATACATACATACATAGGCACACATACATACTGTTATGGTTGATACACTGTGTCAACTTGGGGAGCCTAGAGGTTTGGCTGAGTGACTCAGCAGGAAGCCAGGGTGCTTACTTTGTATACATCCTGAGCCTGTGCAAGAAGAGGGCATGGAGATTATGTGAGCCACACGCCCCTTAGGTGGGGGTAGCCTGTTTACAATATAAGAGAAAACAAGAGGCTGCTTGCCTAGGTTCCTCCCTTTTGCTCTGCTGTTTGCAGTTCGGCTGCCATTCCTCCCTTTGCTCTTGTTGCTTTGTTATCTTCTGCCTCGGAGCCAGCCAAGTATGGACTGAAACCTCCACAAACTGTGAGCTAAATAAACCTTTCCCTCCTTCACTTTGTGCTTTGGGTGTTTTGTCTCAGCAACAAGAGAAAGGTAACGAAGACACATACGCACATACATACATACATACATACACACACACATACATACATACACACATGCATACATACATACACACACACACATACATACACACACACACACATACATACACACATGCATACATGCCAGAGCAGTCACATAGCACCAGGGGCGGGTAACACCCCTGAAATAAGCATTGGAAGAAATGAGCCCAGGAGCAAGCACAGCACCGAGACAGGAGGACAAAGCAGGCAGGGTGGTCCTGCGGGCTGTGGGGTGGAGACCCCAGGAGGAGGCTGCCTGGGACCCCTAAGGGAAGCCCCCACATCAGCAGCGGGAGAGGAGAACAGAACGCCCTCTTGGCAGCCACGACCCAGGTCCCAGCCCTGGGGGCACAGAGCTGTCCCGCGTAGCCCCACCCCAAGGTGCTGGGACGCCACCCTGCACCGTGTCGGAGCACCACCCAGCACGAAGGCTGGGGCAGCCACACCCGAGACCTGGGAGTTCTGTCTTCAGAGGGCATCAAGGGCTGAGAGAAGGGCAGTCATGATAAACTTACTCTTGTTTATCATGTCGTGTGCAGCAGGGAACTGATCACAGGGACACGGGGATTGAAGGGCAGCATTTTGCAAAGCTGAGTAAAATAAAAGACTTGAGAGACGTAGGGGCGGGAGTGTTATGCTGTCTCTAAGGGAGTGAGCAGATGGAAATTCAGGACGCCAGGAGTGGGAAGGGACAGATGCCGGCTCAAGCGCATCTCTTCTCTGCACAGACATAAGGCCTGGGGCACCACAAGAGAGGCGCATTGTGGCTCACTGCAAGCCACGCCAGTCTGGAGACAGAAAGACGCCGGGGATGTGGGGCAGCGGCACAGCCCTTGCCTGGCAAGCTCAAGGCCCTGAGTTCAATTCCCGGCACCAAAAAAAAAAAAAAAAAAAAGAAGCCTTTGAGGGCTGACGATGCCACCAGGGGTGCAATAAGTCTCCTGCCCAGGCTTCTGCTGATGGTGCTGGAGTTTCCCTCCCCGGCCCTCATCTGTGACCTCAGGCAGCCTGGACCAAATACAGACGCTTGTGGGGTGACTTGCCGAGGGGGACGTGAGGAGACAGAAACCTATGAGACACACTGCATCTGCTTGGTAACGTCCAGCAGCTGGTGGTCCAGAGCCGAGGACCCACCTCCGCCCTACCAGCCCAGTGAGAGCTCCCCGGCCCTGTCCTGTCCCCAGCAAAGGCCGAGAACACAGAAGAGCAAAGAGGGAAAAAAATCTAGGCTAGAGATTAGAAAGAAAAGAACCGGTATCGGGTTCTGAAATCCAGGACAGAAACCAGGTGCAAGCGGCCAGACACAAGCAAAATAAGAAAGAAACCGTTCAGAGCCGGGAATTAAATGACCCTGACTTAATAGTCCAGGTTCAGTGTCGGCGCAGACCCAGGGCCTGCTTAGCAGGTACAAATGCCCAGAGAAGGCGGAGACACCTGCCCCGGGAGCCCTGCAGGCTAACACCAGCACCGGAGCTTCTCAACTGCTCATTATTTATGCAAGAACTGAGGGTAGCTCAACCAAAATTTCAACAGAAACTAGAAATTCAGCTTCCCGGACTGCCAGACATACTCATTCTCTGTGTGCCCATCAGGCTGACGGGCGTTGGAAGCAGCAGGACTTTTAAGTCCTCGGCTGTTCTTTCTCTCCTGAAGGCGGCAGCAGTCAAAGGCGCTGGACCACACAGATGAGGCCGCGGCCCGCCAGGCACCCTTGGCCTTCCCTGTCCCTGCACGGCCTCCGCCCTCCAGGGCGGTTGGCTACCGGAAAACCTCCAAAACCAGAATGCGGCCTGTCACCATTTCTTTTCATGTTACTCAAAAAGCAAGGCAAAAAAGGAAGGAGGAGGCTTACGGGCAGAAGACCGCAGGGATGAAGTGAATGAGAAATAAAAGCCAAAAAGGGCTTTATGATGATGATGGTGATGAGGATTTTCTTTTCCCAATGCTGGGGATCAAATTCAGGGCCTTGTGCATGCTAGGCAAGTACTTACCACTTAGCTCCCACTAGCCTTGCAAAAGAGGACTTGAGGTAAAATAACGGGAATCTAGAACACTCGATTTAAAACAAACAAACAAAAAAACAGAAAACAGGTTCTCACTAAGCTGCTAAATTGCCCAGACTGGGCTTGAATTTATGATCTTCCTGCCTCAGCCTCCAAGAGTACTGGGCTTACATCACCATGCCTAGCTCAGATCAAAAGCCGACTGTTACATTTAAATCCAATGGGGGATTTTAGCATGACTCTTACACTCCTAAGAATTATTCCCCTTTCCCAGATATGCTTAAACAAAGTTAGTGTTGACATGCAGCTGAATTATTTCCAAAGAGAATAAAAGAGCAAATATACAAGCCAGTCATAAAAAGGGAGAATCTTAAAATAAGGTGAAAATTAAAGAGCTGCCTCTTCCTGTGATATGATTAAGGGAGTCACAGACCACACATAGACGCAGAGACACGAGCAGATGGAGAAAGGCTTTCTCAAAAGCCCACACGCCTTAGGCTTCTGTTGTACTGAAACATCTATTAAAATTCTAAATGCCTCCGCAGTAATCTTCAGACACCACCCTTCCCACGGACAGACCCATGGGGCAAGGTGTGTGCGGGGGAGGGGTCCGGCAGCACCTCAGAGACAATGAAGGACAACAGGGTAGTGGTCTTTAAAGTTTGAATTTCTTAACATTTAGAGAGCAGTTCATTTCATCACACTCTCTGAATAATTCCCCAAGAATGGTGTAGCTTAGCCTGTAATAGTTTTGCTAAGGAGTTGCATGGAATGGAACAGTCAGTCTTATTCTTTGAAAATCTACCATTCTTGAAATTTACTTCCATAAATTATATATATAAATGTAAATTGTAAATTACATATGTAAATTATTTCTGTTTTATATATATATATTCATTCTGGAGTCATGTTTGATCTCTAAAAGATATTTTCACTAACTTGCTTTTTCCAAACAATAAATAATCTAGGAGAACTAAATACAAGTTGAAACATAAAGTATGCATAAAACAAATTATTAAGGCTTGTGTCTAGATGTCTGCCCAAATCCTCATGCAGTCATAGGTGGGGCTTTTCAGAGGTGGCTGGATCTAGAGTGTGTGATGCTGGGATCAAGGGTGTGTGGTTAGTAAATCAGTCCTCTGATTGCTTTGGCACTGCCCTCGTAGCCCCGACAGAACATAAAAGGAGCAGAAGATGATGCTAAGGTCCCTTGCTTGCTTTACTACCTTCTGCCTGCATGGACTGCTTCTCTGCAATACCTGTCTGCCATGCCACCCTACCTTGGAGCCAGCCAATTATGCACTAAAATTTCTACAAATCGTGAGCTAAATAAACCTTTCCTCCTTTAACTTTGGGTGTCGGGTATTTTGTCTTAGCAATGATAAACTGGCATAACAGATATACAGTCCAATGTACTGGTTGAAATATATATGTTTAATTATATAAAGACATCACAAGCTGGGCATGGTGACGCATGCCTATAATCCCAGCACTCAGGAGGCTGACACAGGAGGATCATTGTGAGTTGGAGACCAGCCTGGGATATAAAGTGAGCTCAGTGCCAGCCTGAACTGCATAGTGAGAACCTGTCTCAAAAAGACAAAAAGAGAAAAAAAAAAAAAGACATCACTTAAAATTTTATCATGGTTAATGAATGCAATTATAACTTCCTGTACAACCATATTCATAACCCATAAAATTAAATAGTCTTTTGTAAGCTATTCACCATTAATTATAGCCATGAAATAAAAAATCCCTGTCACTGGGGATTGTATTTTCTATGAATTTTGGAGTGGCTGGTTAAAGGTCAGAACTGTCCTGCCCTACCTTGGCTTAGAGCCCCTTCTTGCTGCGCATTCCCTCCTCCTTCTCTTTTCTTTCTTTCTTTTTTTTCGGGGGGGAGGTTCTTTTTGAGACAGGGTCTCGCTATGCAGTTCAGGCTGCTCTTGAACTCACCTTGTAGCCCAGGCTGGTCTCAACTCACAACGATCCTCCTGCCTCAGCTTCCAAGTGCTGGGATTACAGGTGTGTGCCACCACACCTGGCTAAAAACTAACTTTTTAAAAAAATAAAATCTTGATCATTGTATTCCATCTTGACCATTGTATTCAAGATTTCTGTGACCTAACATTTACTGGACCCTGTGGTGTGGCAGGACTATGGTGGGGGGACCTACAAGCTGACTCTGGCGCAGCTGCTCCTTGCATAGCTGTAGATGAAGCTGTGCTCCCCCTAAATCCCTATGGGGAAGCACTAAGTTCCAGCATGCTGTAGTTGGAGATGGAATCTCTGAGGAAGTAAGTCAGGTTAAATGAAGTCAAAACAGTGGGGCCCTGGCCCATTAAGATTAGTGTCTTTATGAAGAGATCCATCAGGCTACTCATGGTGGTACACGCCTAGTCCCAGCACTCTAGGAGGCTGAAACAGGAAGATCATAAATTGGAGCCCATCCTCGTCAACTTAGCAGTTTAGTGAGAATCTGCCTTAAAATAAAAAATAAAAACCAGGAAAAAAAAAAAAAATCCGAGACTGCAGCTCCATGCAGAAGGGCTGCAGGGTGCAGTACTGGAGTGGGCGTCCGTCTTTCTTCAGCTGTTCCCACGCAGGAAGGGCTGTGTGAGGTCAGCGCCGTGCAGGCGGCTGGCTAAAGGGCAGGAAGAGCGCCCTCAGCAGGAGCAGCCCCGGTGACACCTTGAATTTGACTGTGGAAGATAAACGTCCTCCGTTGAAGCAGCCTTCTGTGGTACTGGTTGAGCTGAGACATAATTTTGCCACAGAGGCAGGCAGCTGGGCTGGGGTGGCTGTTTTGTTTGCGGGCTGTGTCTCAGTTCACGTGGGGTCAGAGGCCGTGTCCTCTATGTGGCTGTAGTGACAATGTTGTAAGCCTGCAACTCTTGAAAATCCAGAAGCAGCCTGCTGCCAAGCCTCATGCGATGGGCAGCTGTTCTGGGTCCAGGATGCTGGTGCAGTTTGTTTGTTGGACAGGGTCTCACTCTGTAGTCCAGTTTGGCCTGGAACTCGTGATGATCCTCCTGCCTCGGTCTCCCAAGTGGCACCCTGGCTGGCAACGCTGGTGCAGACTGATGGGGAGGTTGAAATGGCAAATACCTGGGAAACGCGAAGCAACCCAGGAAAGTAGTGATTCTACTGAAAGGATTTCGCAAGGGAAGTAGCACAGCCCTGACTAAGAGTTCTGGAGTCCTGGCCTCAGCACCGGTCCCATCTCAGGGCTTCACCTAGAGCCCAAGGCCTTCGGGAAGGCCCCCAGGCAAGCCCTGCATTCCTGTGCTTTCTGACACCCAGGGAGCACAGAGAAGAGCGAACTTAGCAGTATCAGCATGAGCTCACCAGGCCCCTTCCCCTCTCAGCCAGTCTCCCAGAAACTAAAAATAAAATGGAGAACAGATTGCTGCTACGGTGCGGTGGTGTACACCCATACCCTGGCACTCTAGGAAGCTGAGGTAGGAGGATGGCAAGTTCAAGCCCAACCTGGACAACTTAGTTACTTAGGGAGAACTTGTCGTAAAATTTTAAAATTTTTTTTAAAAATAAAGGTGGGGGTCGGGCGTGGTGGCCCACGCCTGTAATCCCAGCACTCAGGAGGCTGAGGCAGGAGGATTGTTATGAGTTCGAGGCCAACCTGGGCTGCATAGTGAGCTCAAGGCCAGCCCCTGAACTACATAGCAAGACCTTGTCTC